GCAATCTGACCTAAAAAAAGCTCAAGATGTCTTCTTCTTTAATAGAAAAATGAATATTCAGCGAAGCATGGAAGTTTTCTCTAAGACCTTGTTTCTAAGCATGTTCTCACAGGCACCCTTGGTCCTCGCTAAACACTGGAATAAACAAATTAAATAGCATTTCACCATGCGTGTATGAAGCTAAAATAAAAAACACATCGTGTTGGACCACAAATGGTTTATGAAGTTCTGGCTAAACGTGAAAAGTACTTTGTAATGCTAATAAGTATTTATCCTTTTGCTTCCTTGAATATAATCAAATGTACAGGGAAAGCACATGTATTTTATAGTTGCCAATTGCAACATCAAAAGCCCTGTTATTAATTGCACATGAATCTGATGTTGTAGGGCCGTTAAGCCGTCAACTGACATCATTGCTTGCTTCCTTTGTTTACAGACCCTCGTTTTAAAGACGCGTAATGCCTGACAGGAGGCCTTTTGAGCACGCTCTTTTCTGTTTAGGTGGGCGATTCCATGCCAGGGGGCGGGGGCAATGCCTGCAGCGCAGGTAACGCCACCTCACAGCACTCAGCTTTATCGAATGTCTCCAAATTAGCTGTATTTGGTGTCAACCCCTCCACGAACCGCAGCAGAAGGCGGGCTGGCTGCAACTGTCGTTGCATACGCGGAGCCTTCTGCCTGCCGAGATCCGCTCCACGCTGCAAGTTGCAGCCTACCAGGGAGAGTCTGGTCCTACATCTTAATAAACAAACAAAAAATAATTCCCTTAAGCATGTCCTGCTATAAACAAGCAAAGCAAGCAGCTGGTCCTCATTTGAAAAGATGTTACATCAATTGCAAAAGGAATCTGCTTAATGCAAATATTTTGGGGAAAACAAAAAGCAGCTGTTTATTCTTCTTTATACCTATTAGCAGGAAAACAAAATCCAGGATGCTCGTATTTCTTCCGCTAAGAAAAACATCCTCTTGGCCCCGACATTCATTTGGACCTCAAATTGTTTAAAATATACTGGGCTGCATAATTCTGCTGTTGCTCTGCTTCTTCAGCAAGCAGCTAGAAACAGTTTCTATTTGTAACTATAAAAGCCTCTAAATGTACAGTAGTCATTGACTACTTTGCATGAGTTTTGTGAGGAAAAAGAGTGAAATTCAGAACATGCATTTTCAAATTCACCAATCCTGTCCTCCCGGACCCTGCCCCAAGGAAAACACGAACATCAGATGTGTGGACCCCCGTAAAATGGATGCATGATTTGCCCTGTGCAGTGAACAGGCTTGCTTTTCTGAACTGCTGCCGGTGGGCACCTCTGGGGGAACAGAAGGGCTTGCAGGATCTGGGGACTGCAAAACAGAAGCCACTTTGGATTGCCGGGTGTAAGGGGGGTTAGGCTGACTAGTAGTGGCAGCGAATTGAATTCGGAGGCTGGAGAGGAGGAGATGCCTTCTGAGGTCATGTGGCCCCTACTAGACACGGCAAGAGCCTTTCCCTTCTTAGGGTTTATTTGGTAGTGGGTTATTGATGGAGTTTTATGTGCTTTTGTTTTTCTGTGAAGTAATATAGCTCCTGTTTTTTCTTGAGATCGTTCTACTGTTTTCTATCCTTTGCTTCCTGGGTTCATCACTGAAAACGCCAAGGGTTTAAAAATGGCAACAGAGGAATGGAAAAAAGCGGGTAAAGGCTCATGTAGCAAAATGGGTGACAGCAGATTGTCAGAAGTCATCAACACACAGGACAGCTTTGATCACAGAAGGGCAACGAGGCTGGTGAGGGGTCTGGAGAACAAGTCTTATGAGGAGCGGCTGAGGGAACTGGGGTTGTTTAGCCTGGAGAAAAGGAGGCTGAGGGGAGACCTCATTGCTCTCTACAACTACCTGAAAAGAGGCTGTAGCGAGGTGGGGGTCGGTCTCTTCTCCCAAGTAACTGGCGAAAGGACGAGAGGAAACGGCCTCAAGTTGCGCCAGGGGAGGTTTAGATTGGACGTGAGGAAAAATGTCTTTACTGAAAGAGTGGTTAAACATTGGAACAGGCTGCCCAGGGAAGTGGTGGAGTCACCGTCCCTGGAGGTATTTAAAAGACGTGTAGATGAGGCGCTTAGGGACATGGTTTAGTGGGCATGGTGGTGTTGGGTCGACGGTTGGACTCGATGATCTTAGAGGTCTTTTCCAACCTTAATGATTCTATGATTCTAATTCATGTAAGCAGTGATAGCTGTTACGTCTGCATGGGGTCGTTTGTCATGCAAATCCATGTTTAAGGGTTGTGCCTCGGTGCTAGCTGTTGTAGCGGGATGCACGTCCAAGCAGTTCACTTCCCTGGAAATCGAGCTTGTTCTTTTCAAACTGAAAGCCAGGGCTGGTTTGCCCCGTTAAGTTAAAGGAGCAGAGTCGTTCTCTCTTGGAAGGTCCCGTTTGGTGTCTGATACCTAGGACAATTTAGAGTCGAGCCACAAACATCTGCGATGGTGTCCGAGAGAGACGTCAGAGCTTGGCCTCGCTCGTCTCCTGCCGGAAGGATGTACCGCGGCGTTGCAGCCAAGGGAAGAACGGAGCGGTGCGCGACTCCCCTTGCCAGCATTTCCAGTTTCTACAGCAAACTGAGGACAGTAAATGGAGTAGCAAAAGGGCTTTTGGCTCGCGAGGGCCAGGTCTGCAGCGCAGGAGCCAGAGAGCACCAGTGGAGGGTTCTCGGGATCCTGGCACCAAAACTTGGGCCAAATAATTGTCCCAGAAAAGCTGCAGAGGAAAAGTGTCGTCGCATAATGAACCAGATGCTCCCCTGGGGCAGCTGGGTAAGCTGCAGCTCTTACACGCACGGGCCCACGTTGAGAAGTACGGGTCTAAACTCCGCAATCGGGATCGCTTTTACCCGAGATCACCGAACTGTGAGTTAGTACGTTAGGGGGAAAGGAACTGGCTTCTTCCTGGGACGGTCTGAGAAAAGCAAAAATGCTTTATCTGCGCATACACCCCGCTTTGCTGATTTCTATCTCGCGTTGGGAGATCCGTATCGCGGCTGCCTGAGCCCTGCAGTCATCAGAAGAGGCAAGCATCTGCTGAGCTTCCAGCAGGTACCGACACGCTTCGCCGAATCAAAGGCTACGCTTCCAGAGGAGGCTCCACACTTGCTCTTCAAATTAATTAACCCTGGCCCTAACCCGCCGGCTGGCTTTCCCCGCGGCTTTACGGCCGGAGCAGCGGACGCCTTACAGGCAGCGCCAGTAACCGTGCTCCATCAGTCCCCTCGGCCAAGTCCCGCTTTCAGCGCTGATGACGCCGCCCAAACGCCACCGG